TCCGATCTATATGATGTAATGAATAAAACCATTTTTTGATTACCCAAAGTTTAATGGCGTTGTTCTCTTATTCAAATTATAAATGATATAACTAAACAAATTAATAAATATTTAGGTGAAGCTGTGCGCTTGAGAATTTTTAATCGCATCACTATGCAGTGTGGTGAATTATTATTGCTCTTATTATTCTCTATAGGCTGTTTTACTTATTAATAGCATGGGTTATCTTAATATATTGATTAATGGCATTGTATTATAATATTACATCAGCCAAATATTTAGGCTGATACCTTCTAATTTCCGTTGTCAGTGCAGGCTTTTTTTTTTTTAGCTTAGGCTACTGACCGTTATGGATTTAGTGTGGCCTGCATTAAAAAGTCTTGAACATAAAACAACAGGATAAAAATATAGTTGATGACCAGACATAATAATTTCATGACTCTAGATACTTCTTTGTGAAGACAGTGACATAATACAGTGAAATAATATGTTCTTTAGTCATATAAATACAGTTGTCATGTGTGTGGGTAAAATTTACCCGCTGGCGATTTTAGGTATACAGCGACATCTGGCGGTTCTAGTGTTAAATACAATTCACAGTGAACAGCATTAAATATAAAAACAAATGTCTTGCCTTCTCTGTGAAGTTTTTATTGCATAAGTGGGCAGTGTTGGGTGCTAATCAAAAAGACGCACGATAATTGATGCAATATAGTGCGACCGCACACACTCCACACAGAAAATTATTAAGAATTACTTTTGCAATAATGCATACATGTACTGTATATGATTTTGTAAAATCTGCCATTATGATTTCTATGTTGTTAAAATAATAATAATAAAGAAACATTTTAATGACCAAAACACAGGTAAAAAAAATTGTTGCTAACAACAATCCTGAAGCAGGATCCAATCAGAGAAGTCGCTGTTATCAGTGCTCATCGTGAATTGTCACTATTAGGAACGTCGAACTAGCAATGTTCAGGTCTGTTCTCCTAAAAATATTTGGATTATCTTTAACAAGCATCATCAAGATGTTTTGTCTGAGCTCTGAATGCTAGTGTATGGCAACTGCCATACTCTGCCACACGCAAACACTGCCCCTGTTACAAAAACACACTTGTGACAGGCTGTCAATAGATTCAATAATTCAATATCAGTTAATAGTTCACAATTTGTATAATTATATTACATTTCAATAATAATAATAATTATTATTATTATTACTATTATTATTATTATATTTTTATGTTAACAAAACATTTTATGTTTATGGGTTGCTCAATTAATTTGCATGCATTTACTGTATAAAAGCATACAATAAATGCAATTAATTTAATGCCTCTTCAATAATTTTGAATCAGTCAATCAATCAATCCCCACACTTTCCAAACATATGTACAAAGATGTTTTTGCTGTGGAAGTATGACAGTCTTCTCATTAATGCTTCTTCAGAAATACAGTACTTTATACTTGTTGAGCTACATAGTTGTATTTCACCATAAGAGTGTTAATGACTGACTTTTATTATAGGTCCCTTCTGTATTGATAAATGGATACATTACAAAATGAAACAGTTATAATGTCAACATATTTAATGAATCACATGCATCAATGCATTAACTTTTATGCTCCACATCACACTGGCTGAACTGCTGAACTGTGCTGAAGAGGAGCACATTGTCAGCTGGTTAAGGTCCTGAAATTTGCTAAATGATGATTTTCTAAATAATGTTACATACAGTACGTTAAAACCTTTTCAGTTTTATTTTCTTTTTCATTTTTTAGGGAGTAAAATAAATTAAGAAAAAAAAAATTAAAATGTGTTTTAATTTTGTGTACATCTCATTTAACACCATGCAACTGTAACATTGTAATGTGGTGTTTGGGTTTTGTCTTGTTCATGTTTCCATGTCTTTTATTTTGTAATTGTTTTATGCTGTTTGTGTCATGCTTCCCTTGCCCTCATGTATCTCTGCCTTGTGTATGTGTCATGTTCTGATTGGTTGTCTTAGTCATGTGTCTTGTTTCCCATTGGTTTGTTCTTGTCATGTGACCCTCTTGTTTCCTATAAGTAGCCATCATGTTGCCATTGTCGGTCGTGTATTGAATGTATTTATCCCGTTATTGGTGAGTCTAGTCTGTTCATGTCAAGTCTGTTTATGCCTCGTCAAGTCTGTTCATGCCTAGTCAAGTGTGTTCATGCCTCGTCAAGTCAAGTCAAGTCTGTGTATCTTGTTTGGATCACTCTGTAAATAAACTGCACTTGGGTTCTTCACTACTCTCGCCTTCAGTGGACTGGATTCGTTACAGACATATATAAGCATTACAACAGCCATCAGTCAACCAGCTGTCTAGTTACCAGCATCAGTATCAGCTATTGAAAAAATCATAACAGCCAACTAATCATAAGCACTGTTATCTTGATCACCACCAAGATCATCATGAGATCAGGTTAGATTATAACCAAAGCAATAACCACATATTGCCTCTTTCCACCAGAAGAGGACAAAAGACTCCCTCCACAAGGCAGATCTGAGCCACAGCCAAGTCAGCGAGATGCTTTAGCAGCACTGTCATAGCGTTCACACAGTGCCTCAGAGCGCTGTGAGGAAGAGGATCTGGATGTGGAACATGTCACACACACACCAATAAAGCAGATTAAACGGTGTATGTGCACAGTCTGTGCTATAAATACCCAACAATGTAGCTGTGCAAACGCTGTGCTCTCATTGTTCAGAATCAAATATCTGATAATAGATTTGCTCCCATTCTTACCAGCACTTCAATTTCATCTCATCCCATGCATCAAAATCCAACTCATTTTGCTCTTGCTTAATTAACTCAACCTCAAACAGGACAGACAGCAATAGGCACTCATCCAAAATGCAGGAACAAATGCAGCATTTAAAGACGAAGTCATGGAAATACTTTGGTGTTTCTAAAAAAGCTGTGCACCTTTTCATAGCACAGACCTTTTCTCGATCTTAAAAAGCCGAAACACTGGCTTATGTTTACATTTGTAGGAGAACGCTGCATTTCAAGCCCTCTGTTCCATAAAACAGACACTTTCACACCAGACATATTCATTCAGGTAGAATACCAGGCAGAAAAAAAAACATGTTATGCACATGCCATCATTCTCACTTCCTCTCTTGGGCTCTGAATCCCCGAGTAGAAGTCTTCCACTATTTCTGAGAGGTGATAATAGGCAGAGCATCCTTTTTGCTCTTTTCCAATTGACTCACATTTCTGATGCAATGTAGTGGTAAAAACGCAAGCTCACAAATGTCAGTCTAATGAACATACAAGCTAATGTTAGGACTCAGAGCAGGGAGTAGGAGGTTAGTGCTTTCAGCCCAACTGACAGCTGGAAAGCCATGAAACAATAAAGAGCAATAAGACTAATTGACTTTGAGTTCTGCATCATGTATCTCTGGCTGAGCAGTACACACATAAACACAAATACAGATAATGCTGAAAATAAGCAGATTAGTATATGTAATTTTATATATATATATATATATATATATATATATATATATATATATATATATATATATATATATATATATATATATATATATATATATATATATATATATATATATATATATATATATATATATATATATATATATATTATTATTATTATTATTATTAAAAATCCAGAAAATGTATCACAGTTTCCACAAAAATATTAAATAATGCAACTGTTTTCAACATTGATAATAATAAGAAATTTTACTTGAACACCAAATCAGCATGATTTCGAGATCATGTGACACTAAAACAAATTCTTATTACACTTAACAATATTACTGTTGAATTTGTATTTATAAATACTTGCTGTATTTTTTTTTTATTAAATAAATAAAGCTTCCGTAAGCATGAGAGATTTCTTTAAAAAAAAAAAACTAACTGACTCCAATAATTTGAACGGTAGTGTTTATATTTACATTCTGTCTAAATGAAATAATCAATCAATATTATAATAAAGACAATGATATTCACTTTAACAGTGACAATACTGTATTGGTTTTTTTTTTTTTTTAGATAAACTGTATTACGGGCACTTCTCGTGTTTATTGCCACCTTATGGTAAATCGCTTGTTGTATTCCTCAACGCAAGTCGTTCAATTCCTCAGTGTAAGTCGCTTTGGATAAAAGCATCTGCCAAATTAATAAATGTAAATGTAAATGTAAATGTTAGATAATGGCAAAGGTAGCCTAATTGTAAAAACAGGGGAAATTAGCATAAACAAATTAAATATCCAATAACGACTGGTACAAAAAATTAAATAAAAATATATATCAGCTGATAACCAATACATGTGCATTCCCCCACACACATTTACTCTTACAAGAAACGTCTCACCTATATATGCCAAACGACACTTCTGTGGCACCGCCACGCTGCCTCCAACATGGTAGAACCTACGGGCCAAAAGTGACGCTACGTTGACCATGGCCGAGCGCTCTGATGCCAGGAAGAAGGGTCTCATGCCATCAATACACAAAGGTGACCGCTCGAAACTGAGTGTCATTCCTGAAGAACTCTCTCTTGCTTCCTTCCCTTGAGACTGAGAGCCGTAATCTCTCTCTGAGTGTCCACATCTAACGCCCACTTCTTTATCCAGAACCCCTCACTCCACCCTCTCTTTGGTCATCTATCTTATATCCCGCCAGCTATTCACACGGAGCCTTTGAACCTTTGTGACAGTAGAAAGCAGTACCGAGCAGGGATTTACACAGAAAAGCTAATGTATTGTTGTGGGGAAAATGTGCATGATGGTGGGGCTTTGAACAGATGTGTTTTTGTCCTAGAGGGTCAAAGTGAGCAGCATAAGTAATGGAGATGGAAGAGAAAGCAGATAATATTAATGGTATGACATAACACGAGTACACGAGTGTGATCCCCAAAAATCTGTCTTTTTGTTTTCAAAAGGACACATTGCACACAGTGTGCATAAAAACCATTATAACGTATAAAGAAGCCAATGCAGGTCAAGAAAGATGTAACTTTAAAAAAGACAGATCTAAAGTGAGCTCTTTGAAAAACCTAAGAGGGGGGATTTAACTTCCAAGTGTGGGTGGATCTCTCTGAGGTCCAATCCCGTGAATTGTGTGCTCATGAAGCACGAGTGGAACTGGAGGGGAAGTCACAAATTTATTGAAAACCCCTCCACTCCTCATGATATCAGCTGAACATCCACTATAAATCATTTAGTCTCACAATTTGCAATATGAATGCATTTCTCTGACGTCTTCACATCTTCAAGTTCTCGGTGTCCTCGTTTTCTCTAGGTCTTCGGAGCTGCACATGCTAGAGTGAAAATGAATTCATCCACGGTAACCCGGAAGCAGCTCCGGGAGCATGACGTATGAGTTCAGCTTTGCGCATGCGCCGCTCAGAAGTGACGCAAGCGGAAGCGCAGCGGAGAGATCAAAACAAAACAACGTCACTTATTAGAAGTACAAAACGAGGATTTGTAAAGAAGAATGTCGGAGGATTTCGATATAAGCCAAGAGGAGACTGGTTTTCCTTTGCTAAAGTAAGGAAACTTTGCTTCCTTTGCTCCTGTTAACAAACGTTGGTTTTCACGAGACTCACCGGCGCATGCGCAAAGCTGAACTCATACGTCATCAGCCCGGAGCTGCTTCTGTGTACAACTGTTGGCGCAGGCTACATTAAAGTGATTATTACGTTTTGAATATGGATATTTTTCTTACAAAAACGCATCGATTCGCTACAGGAGGCCTTTGTTCACCCCCCGGAACCACGTGAGACACTTTTTTTTATGGACAGGCACTTTTTATTTAACTTCTTTTGGACTGATGCATGCAACACCCGCTGAGTGCCATGAAACAGCTTGAAAGATCAAAGACAATTTTTAATATAACTCAGACTGGATTCGTCTGAAAGAAGAAAGTCATATACACCTAGGATGACTTGAGGGTGAGTAATTTATGGGCTAATTTTCATTTTTGGGTGAACTAACCCTTTAAGTTGGTCACTTACAATGAAAGGGAAGTTTACAAGCTTCAAAAAGAACACAAGCGGACAATACACTTAGCCCATATGTACTATATTCCATCTTCTGAAGACATATGTTAGCTTTGTGTGAGAAACAGACCAACATTTATGTTGTTGTTCAGTGACAATCTCGAGGATCAGATCAGTCTGTTTCATGAACATAATTCAGATCAGTTTTGTGAAGTTAAAGGCACAATATGTAATTTTTTGCCACTAGAGGGCGCGTATTCAAAACAAACAAAGAAACAAAGGCGTAGTTTGATGACGCCGTGACTGAGTGTGGAATCATGGGAGTTGTCGTCTTCATCCCCATTTGGGATATTTTAATAAAAAAATCTTACATATTGTGCCTTTAACGTTGTAGTATGAAGCAGGGTGAGGCGGAAAGCCATCTAAGCAAAATAAGGCCGCTGAACGAGCGCGACACATGGCTCGAAAGCAACGGAGCTTTTATTATGCCACAGTCGACCGCTTCCGCTCCTTCCGGTCGTGCGTATGTGGGGGAAAAAAGCAGCGCTGTTTTATCATACTAGATACATTTGAAAGTTCTGTTATAATGCTACTCTGTGCGGTCGTCACCTGTCTAATAAAACGCATAACATATTAAAGCGTCTTTGGTGTTTCCATGTTTTCTACAAAACAAAACCGGAAATTGAGGGGTTATGACGTCATTGGCAGGCGACACAATGACACTATGGACACGGTCCGTGTCACTAGTTAAAATTGCTTATTTCTCTGGATTTAAACATTCTTCGAAACATTTGGGATAATGTAAGTACACAAGTCAGCAAAATATATAACACTGTTCTAGTGGTTTTTGGATATTTTAATAAAAAAATCTTACATATTGTGCCTTTAATCAACCAATTAATTGAAAAAAAAGATGACTTGAAAAAACCCATTCTGTTTGTCACACTAAGCTATCGTATGGCTTCAGAAGAATACATTGAATACATTGTCATATTGCTGCTTGGACCACTTTTATGGTACTTTTGTAGTACTTTTTATGATTTTGGAGCTTGGAGCAATTCCAGTCCTCATTCTCTTTCATTATATTGAAAATATAACCTTCTGTCAGGGTATTCAGGAAAGTTGGAGGTACGTCTTGTGGAAATCAAGGGAAAATATGGGGACTAATTAAAGACCAATGATAGCGCCCCGGTGGACACTATTGGACACTGGTTCCTTGCAGAGCTCTCTTGAGAGAACAGCAGATCCCCAACATCCACGCACTAAATGGTGGATCCAAACAGAGGAAATAACCACTTATCACATCTTCTCTGTCTTAATTAGAAAAAAATTATGATATTACTGCCTTCACTCAAACTGCACCACCACGCTTTCAACAAAAACCCCTACTGAGCCCCCACAATCCATTAGAGCAAAAATAACTGTGCGGAATCTTAATATATTCATGACTGCTGCTCTGACAGGGTTCCCTCCGTGCGTTCCTAGTTCTGACATCAAAGAAGCACTGTTAGGCAGGCTGGTGTTTGGGGAGATGCTCAGTAAGATTTTGGGCCAATTGGGAAAGCCCCTCCCCCTTTGCCATTTCCCTTTACCCAGCACAAGGATGGTGCAGAGCTGATACGGATATCTCACAGAACAGAAACGAGTACCCCTGTGAACTGTCTAATCTTCTCCACTTCAGAAAGAATGGCCATGGAGATGCATTGAATGGAAATTTGCCTCCAGTTTCCCTTTAATGGTGCTAGTTGTGCAACTGAAGCCTATTAGTTTATACAGAATGGGTGATCGTAAAGGCCTATGACTACATTCATCATTAAAATGAAAAGTCATGTCCATTCTCTTGAGCTTGCTACTCTCAAGGGATCACTTAAGACAGGGGCTACAGTACAACCCAAAAAAACAACATCTTAGTTAACCTCATTACCAAGTTAATGGATAATTAGGCTTCTCTCTTATAATTTACAAAATCAATTGACAGGCACTGAGACAAAACACCTTCACAGACAGAAAGGAGTAACGACAGTCAGTGCATAAATGGGAAAAGGACAGGACAGAACAGGACAGGACAGGACAGGACAGGACAGGAAAGGAAAGGAAAGGAAAGGAAAGGGTTTATGTAGATGAGGTCTGAAAATAAAGGGAATACTGCAGTGAATCATCATTATCTGAGAGGGAAAGCACTTTTTTAACATGAAGGACCTATTTTCTCTTTGTGGGGGAGTAAACAGTCACTGCAGTCCAAAACAAACAGAAACAAAAGAGAGTAACCTGTTGACATGATATACTGTATAAAGGAGAACAGCAAGGTCTTTCCATTGTGGAGCAGGGACGAAGGTGACCGTGATTTCACCAAGTACAACATGTTCCTGGATCAACATTCCTATCAACCAATCAGAATTGAGGGATAACTTTTCAGGAAATATCTGTTTAGGCTTACAATCAGGGTTAGGTGCTTCTACACCCTTGTTAATCAGCTATAATTTCACGCTGTTTTTAGGAATAAATTATGGGTAGGGTTAGGTTTAGGGGTAGGGATTGGGTTAAGTCTATATTTTTGGACAGTTGTTGATCCAGGATCAACAAAAGATGGTGATCCAGGAACATGTCTTATTTGGCAAAATCACGGCGACCCAGGGACGAAACAGCTTTTATTATTGTTGTGCTGGTATTTTACACATTAATAGTGCCACAATCAATCTTTCAATTGATAAATGGCACCATTATAAAGAATAGTGCACAAAATTTCTAATGACAATTAAAATCCTTTATCAAGGTCTCTACAACATAGGGCTAAAAGAATTGCAGAAAGCACCAGAGGAATGACCCTACGAGACCCTGGTTATCATCACGGCTTACACATTCATAAACACCTTTATAGTTCATTACATTAAGCATTATGTTTCCCTGTAGTCAGTGGCAGAGGTGATATATTCGCCCAGAGCACCACTAAAGCACTGCGCCCCTCTCTCAGACATATGTTTGATCTCGTTTTGTAATGAAATCATGAAATAAAATGCAACCACGTGTGACCCTGTTTCTGATATAAAAACACTATATGCAACCAAAATTTGCTTGGTTTTGAACCCAGAACTGCTGATGACAAAAGCACGAAGCAAGATGTATTTGTAAATCTGTATAAATGAGAGTATTTCATTTTTTATTAATAATTTATTTAACAGTGTTTTTGTTTTGTTTACTAGCAAATATATGCATACTATGAGTACCATCATAAAAGGTTTTCAGAAAGTACACATTTATACATTTACATTTATGCATTTAGCAGACGCTTTTATCCAAAGTGACTTACGCTGCCTTGAAAGTATCCAATTGATCACTTAATGCATTGGGAATCGAAGCCATAACCTTGGCACTGCTAGCACCATGCTCTACTGTTATTTAGTAATACCAGAATAGCTGCCAGATTTGTAGCTTCCTCGCCTCCGAAATCTAATTGCAGATCACGACACAGATGGCACCAAAAACAATAACTAACCCTATCATAATAAAGCAGGGCTTTAAGGCTGGAGTAAAAAATCCTATTCTATTATATTGCTCCAAAATACCTATGGAAACGCTCCTCATAATGAACTGTGATGGTTTTAATATAATTGGTAACACAAATCAGATCCTCAAACCAGAACATTAGGTTTCGCAGCTTGAGAACTAAATAGATGGCAAACATTCAATTAGCCACAGCCTGTAGATTCGTGTTTTGGAGCGGCATCTCTTACCCCCTCCCACAGAGTACAACAGCATTCCGATGTAGAACCCTGGACAGCTCCTCTCACTTAAAGTCATGCGTGTACAAACCCAAGCACAGCTCAAAAAGACACACTGCCAATATCACTTATATTAAAATGCTTCATTAGAGACTTAATCTAGTATCTAACTGGTTAACCTGAATTAAGTGCCTAATCATAAGAGAAAAAAATGACACCCATCAGAAAAGAAACAATAATAAAAACCAGTGCACAATTGCATCGTAACGTGGACACATGCTAGAAAATAAATCAGTTATGTGACTGATGTTATAGCAGCGTAATGCATGACTCACCCTTCTCAAAACTGATGTTTTTTAAAACTTCCAGTTCCGCCATTATAGTTGATAACAGGTAAACACCGCATTAAGACCGAATCCCTTTCGGCACCACGATCAGAAAACAAAATGTGCGCTTCGGAATGCAGGTGTCTTTGCACTCTTCCATTAAATATA